TTAAGTTTGAATATTACCGATATAGAGAAATTAAAGCATGAATAATACTAATATAGAGAAATTTAAGTTTGAATATTACCGATATAGAGAAATTAAAGCATGAATAATACTAATGTACAGAAATTTAAGTGTGAATAATACCGATATAGAGAAATTTAAGCATGAATAATACTAATATAGAGAAATTAAAGTATGAATAATACCGTTACAAAGAAGTTAAAACATGAGTAATACTAATATAGTGAAAGCTAAATATGAATTATAACGATATAAATCAATTTAAGTATGAATATTACCGACATAAAGAAATTAAAGCATGATTAACACTATTATAAAGAAATTTAAGTTTGAATAATACCGATATAAAGAAATTAAAGCATAATTAATACTATTATAGACAAATTAAAGTATGAATAATACTAATATAGACAAATTAAAGTATGAATAATACTAATATAGAGAAATTTAAGTATGAAAAATACTATTATAGAGAAATTATAGCATGAATAATACCGATATAAAGAAATTAAAGCATGAATAATACTATTATAAAGGCATTTAAGTATGATTAATACCAATTTAAAGAAATTAAATCATTAAATTTAAGGGAAATTTAAATATGAATAATACATATATAGAGAGAGAAATTTAAGTATGAATAATACTCTTATAGAAACATTTAAGTAGAAATAATACCGATATAAAAAATTAAAACTTGAATAATACTATTATAGAAAAATTTAAGTATGAATAATACTCTTATAGAGACATTTAAGTAGAAATAATACCGATATAAAAAATTAAAACTTGAATAATACTATTATAGAAAAATTTAAGTATGAATAATAGAGATATAAAGAAATTAAAGCATGAATAACACTATTATAGAGAAATTGAAGTATGAATAATACCGATATAAAGAAATTTATATATGAATAATACCAATATAGAGAAGTTTAAGTATAAATAATACTAATATAGAGAAATTAAAGTATGGATAATACTAATATACGTGAACTTACCTGACTAGTGATGGATTTTAAACTAATTATTGAAGGGAGGAATTCATATTTATTTCAGTCATTACACTTTTTTCCATTGCCACTCTCTAGTTTGAGATCTATTATTTTTCAGTCATTAAACTTTTTGCCATTGTCACATTCCAGTTTTAGATTTCTTTGTTTTTAGTCATTACTCATTTTGCCATTGCCAAACTCCAGTTTTAGATTTATTTGTTCTTTGTTTCGTTTAAAAATACTTTTAACTATGCAAGGTAAGTTTAATTATGAATTTAGTTTTTAAAATCCTTTCAGAGACTTGCGAAGGTCAACAATCCCTGGAACGAGATTTATGACATTTGGCGTTACAATAATTTACACTGCTATCCAGTAAGCTTTTTTAATTTTCCTGTTTCTGTTAGATGTAAAACTTATCTCTATACCCGTCACATTAATATCTTCAAGACAGTGTCCAGGTATGTTAAAGTGTTTTACGTCCGGAAGTTCTTTGTTAGTTTTGATTGTTGATTTATAGTTATTAAAACGTTTTCGTTTTGGTTTGACCTAATATTGAAGTTGCATTTTCGCCATTAGATTAAGTAAATCGTTTCTTGTAGAGCAGGTTAAGGGTTTAGTGATTTTGAACTGCTTTTGGTTGTCTTTATTGGAAAATCTGTTTCCTGCATGAACTTACATGTTTGACATCGCTTGCTATTGGAAGAATGACTTCCACCTGGTGTCGACTTAAATTTCACTTTGGCGTGAACTAACTTAGGTGGTCACATGAAGTCAACTATAATGTTTTAAGTGGTCAGATGAAATCCTGTATAATGTTTCAAATGGTCAGATGAAGTCGTGTATAATGTTTTAAGAGGTCAGATTAAATTATGTGTAATGTTCTAAGTGGTCAGATGAAGTCGTTTATAATATTTTAGTGTTCAGATGAAATTATGTATAATGCTTCAAGTGGTCAGATGAAGTCGTGTATAATGTTTTATGGAGCAAAGAAAATGTTGAGTCTAAAAACACCATTTGTGTTAATATATACAATAAAGTCATGTGACGGTTCTTACTAATACTTCTTTTGATATTTAAAGAACTACCTAATCTGCCAAAAATTTAAATGTTATAAATAAGTAATAGCAAGTTATATTTCAAAAACCATTTTAAATCGTGCTGTATCTATGTAACTTCAAACTAGTGTAGAGTTTTTTGTAAGAGTTCTAGTTACCTTAGACACTAGCCCGGTCTCCACGTCCAATTGGCTGATGTTGATTCCATAAGCCTGGGTGCCAATGCTCGCAGCCACTACACGGAACCTCTCTGGTTTCATAATGAAAGCGATGGTACAGTTAACGTTTCTGCCATAGTTTCTTAGGGTGTAGAGACCGTCAGGCCACTGCATCACTGCATTGCACGCTGTACAATATATATATATAATTATATATATATATAACTTATAATATATATTATACAATTGTATAAATATATTTCAGTTACTTCTCCGATGGAGTGTAGCAAACATGAGAAAGCTTGATTTGCCCCCCCCCCCCAAAGCTAAACCCCAAACTTTCTGTCAGAAGTCCCAAAAAGTACTGAAAATGGAAGCCGAAACGTCAGTTAACCAAATGATTATATCAACCTGCTGAACAAAGTTTCTCAAACTACATTTTATTTTACAGTGTGTCTGCAGTCTAGGTTTAGTAGTGCTAAACTGCACTTGATAAGTGTAATATATATTTGAAATTTGACATTTAAGATTTAAATTAACCAGTTAGACCTTTCCCAAAAAGAAAATATTAATTCAATTGAATTTTGAGTTGCTAGATTTTGTTTTCAAACAACTGTTGATTTAAAGAACAAACAAGTTAAATACCATAACGTGAGGTATTAGTCCCTCGTGAACTATAACTTAAGAAGTGCAATTGAATCAGCAACCGGGACTATTTGTCTTAAGCAGTGTCTTGTTAAGTAAGATTTAGAGATGTATTTCATATAATGTTTTCTTAATTATTATTTAGGATTATAGTTTGTGTATTGTTTGTTAAGTATGATTTAGAACTGTGTCTTAAATACTATTCTGTTAGGTATTAGCCAGAACTATAGATTTGGTGAACTGTTTCTACGTCTAATTTATAACTGTACTTTAAATTTTGTGTTGTTAAGTATGATTTATAACTGTACCTTAAATTTTGTGTTGTGAAGTATGATTTATAACTGTACCTTAAATTTTGTGTTGTGAAGTATGATTTATAACTGTACCTTAAATTTTGTGTTGTGAAGTATGATTTAGGACTGTACTTTAAAACTGTGTGTTAAACATTGTTTTCTTAAGTATAATTTAAAACTGTGTCATACACAAATTTGTTAAGTATGATATACAACTGTATCTTAAATAATGTTTTGTTAAGTGTTTTTCAGTGCTGTATTTACGCATTTTCATGGTATAATAGTTGTTCTAATATAGATTAGTGTATTTACATCTCACGATATAATAATTATCTTAATATAGTTTATTGTAAATACGTCTAATGGTATAATAGTAGTCCTAATATAGTTTATTGTATTTACATCTTATGGTATAATAGTTGTCTTAATAAAGTATAATGTATTTACATCTAATGGAATAATAGTTATCCTAATATAGATAACTGTATTTACATCTTATGTTATAATAGTTGTCCTAATATAGTTTAGTGTATTTACATCTCATGATGTAATAGTTGTCAAAAATAGTTTAGTGTATTTACATCTTATGGTATAATAGTTGTTATATATAGTTTACTGTATTTACGTCTAATGGTATAATAGTTGTCCTAAAATAGTTTAGTGTATTTACGTCTAATGGTATAATAGTTGTCCTAATATAGTTTAGTGTATTTACATCTCATTGTATAATAATTGTTCTAATATAGTTTAGTGTATTTACAACTCATGGTATAATAATTTTCCTAATATAGTTTACTGTATTCACATCTTATGGTATAATTGTTGTCCTAATATAGTTTAGTGTAGTGTATAATAATTGTTCTAATATAGTTTACTGTATTTACATCTTATGGTATAATTGTTGTCCTAATATAGTTTACTGTATTTACATCTCATGGTATAATAGTTGTCCTGATATAGTTTACTGTATTTACATCTCAATCAAAAAACTCAAGGTATAAGAAATCTAATTTAGTGTCAGTCAGTTTAAACCTTATAGGATGTGATTCCATTTTGCTGTGCTGTATTGTATGCTCTCCATCTGAACTTCAATATTTGGAAGTATTATCAACGTGAAAATGGTTCTAGATTGGTAAATATTTTCACTAGTGTTATTAGACTAAACCCTTTTACGGTGAGAGAAATTAACGTGTATACTTTCATAACCAACGTTTTAAGTTAATTACATGCCTTCTTCCTCTAAATAAACTGTTTATTGATTGAATGACTACGTAGAAGCTTTGGTATGTTTCCTCCAGAAGCAAGTTGGCTTCCGACTATAATTACTACAAACATCTAACGATCTACTGGTGAAATGTCTTTCACATTGTTTGCACTGTACACTTTTAGATATATTATACTTCGTTTGCTCTTAAGCTCAAAATGCAGAAATGAATTATCTGTGCTATGCCCCCCACGGGTATCTAACTCAGATGCTGTAAGTACTGATATTTATCTTAAACTGATGTCCACCAACATCATTCATAAATATTAGATAAATCAAAAATAAATGTTCAAAAACACTCTTCACAAACAAGAAGAAAAAATAATAATAATTTGACAAATCCTGCCTATAAATATTTCACAAACTTAGTGATTTTAATTTATACACTAATGTTGTGATTCAGTTCTTTGTATTCAAATTTAAAAAAGTTGAGTCTGGAGGTGATAATTATGTAAAATGTTTCAGAATACTGCATGAAATTGGTGAATTTGAGAGCAATAAACATTTCGTGACGTTCCAAGCATGTCTAGACATTTTTTCTCAGGTTTTTTTATGTTATTACATCGCACCTTTCTTTACGCTATTACATGAACGTTTCTCTACTTAATTACTTTATATTTGAAACTTATCATAACATAGAATTTTAAATATTTCGTGATTTTATGTACCTATAGAGCAATTTTAATTGGATATATAGTTTGCCGCCTTGTATGAATATACTTATATTATGTTATTTCATACTATAAAATTTACTACCGTCTATTTACAAAATATATTAATAAGGTTCAGTTAATTAATCACACGATCTCTGTTGCCTTGTGTTCTATTAGAGATGATGACACAGTAAAAAAAGATATTTATTTCGAATTTAGAGCTCCTGTAATTATGATTCTTGATTAAGGTAATTGGAAGAAATAGGAAGAAAAATACAGTTGTATAGGAGTTGTTATGATTAGTATTTTAAATAGTAAAAATTTAATAATTACAAACAGAATGTTCAACTTATGACAAAAAGGAAGTTGCAGAGCTGAACATGTAGTTCAGGCAAGGAAGTGATAGTCAGATGTTTGTGTCTGAAGATAGAACAGGAAACTGATCACATGTTAGTGTGAGAAGGTAGATCAGGGAACTGATCAGATGTTTGTGTTTGAAGGTAGATCAGGGAACTGATTATATTAGTGTCAGAAGGTTGATCAGGGAACTGATTACGTAAGTATCTGAAGATAGGTCTGGGAAACTGATCAGATGCTATTGTCTGAAGATAGATCAGGGAACTGATCATATGTTAGTGTCTGAAGGTAGATCAGGGAACTGATAAATTTTTTGTCTGAAGGTAGATCAGAGAATTGATCACATGTTAGTGTATGAAGGTAGATCAGAGAACTGATCACATGTTAGTGTATGAAGGTAGATCAGGACACTGATCACGTTAGGGTGTGAATTTAAGTCAGAGAACTGATCACATGTTAGTATCTAATGGTAGATCAAGGAATTGATCACACGTTAGTTTCTGAAGTTATATCAAGAAACTGAAGACGTTAGTATCTGAATGTAGATCAGGAAACTGTCATGTAAGTGTATAAAGGTAGATCAGGGAACTGATCCCATGATAGCGTTGGAAAGTAGATGAGAGAACTGATCATGTTAGTGGCTGAAGGTACATGAGGGAGCTAATCACATGTTTGTGTCTGAAGGTAGATCAGGGAACTGCTCACATGTTTGTGTCTGAAGGGAGATCAAGGAATGATCACATGTTAGTTCCGAAGTTAGATGAGGGAACTGATCACGTTAGTGTCTGAAGGTAGATCAAGAAATTGATTATGTTTTTGTGTCTGAAGTTAGGTAAGGGAACTGATCACATGTTAGTGTCGGAAGTTAGATCAGGAAACTGACATTTTTTTGTCTGAAAGTAGATTAAGAAATTGATTATGTTTTTGTGTCTGAAGTTAGGTAAGGGAACTGATCACATGTTAGAGTCGGAAGTTAGATCAGGCAACTGAATTTTTTTTGCCTGAAAGTAGATCAGGGAGCTGATCACGTGTTAGTGTCTAAAGGTAGAACAGGGAAATGATTATGTAAGTTTCTAGAGGTAGATTAGGGATTTGATCGCATCCTGGTGTCTGATGGTAGACCAGGGAACTGATCACATGTTACTGTCTTAAGGTAGATAAAAGGACTGATCACATGTTAGTTCCGAAGTTAGATGAGGGAACTGATCACGTTAGTGTCTGAAGGTAGATCAAGAAATTGATCAGATGTTACTATCTGAACGAAGAGCCG